AGTCAGTTGCAAGTTCCATATTCATCAGATGCGACACTCTTCATTCTTGGTGTTTTGCCGTCTTGTTGGCCTGTCTTCGGGTTTTTTTTCGTCTCCAACTTTTTCTATCGAAAAGCAAACTGGATTTCGTCTTAAACGCTCCTCTAGTTGCAGTTGCACTTGCTGTTGATTTTGCCATTGCATTTTAATTAAGTGCATTTTAATGAGGCATCATCGCGACTTTTGTACATCATCAATTACACAAACGCATTTTAAATGGGCTGCCAGCAATGTTTGTTGGCTGGGAACTATGTGGCTGCGATTCATTTCGATGCAGTTCCCCCTTGTTTTTTTATATTTTATTCAGGTAATTATTAAGCTTATTTAGATTAGTCTCCGCTCTTGTGGCTTCGGGCTGTCTATTGCGGTTGCTGGCTCCGTGAAATTGATGTGAAAAAAATCAACTAAAAGTGTTTGTTTTAATTCGATTTGAGTCTGCCGGCGCCCAGGAAGGATGTGTTTGCATCGTCCTGTTTGCTAATGCACGAGAAATGGAGAGTCCTAGTTTGGTTTACCCTGCTGGTCGAGGTGGCAAACTAAGGGTTCATTCGCAGGTCATATTGGCTTAGTAGAAAATTCCATTACGAAATCCTTAAGTCCTATAAATAATGAATATATTTTTAAAAATTATAAGAACCCTTTAAAATAAATTAATAAACAATTCTAATCTTTAAAGGGGAAAACCTTTCCGAATTTTCAATTTAAAAGTATAAAACTTCAGTCGCAGGACCTTTTAAATTATTGTGACTTCCCATATCTATTTAAATAAATTATTAATGTTTTTTTAAAGGTCTCTTGGTATTTTCGTGATCTATACTTAACCCGAAAATCATCGACTTAATAATACAATGTATCTTTAAAATTCCAATTTAAAATTTGACAGGCATTAGTTTCTATTTTCGTTTTAATTTTCAATACAATTATTGATTTTTCTGATATATTTAAAATAAATTCTGATATGATGTAGGATCATTTATTTTGTTATGATAAGGAAGTGCATCTGCCAATTTATCAAGCCGAACATATATGAGTTCTATTTCCACCCGTTCACCTGCTATACCTTCTCATTAATCTCATCCCCTACTTTTCGACCCCTCTCATCCAGCGACCTGTTCAAAAACTTTTTCCATTTTTTCAAATTGCGTAATTTTCATTAGTTTGCTGCATTTGCAGACAAATTAAGAGCCTCTGCGCTGCTGTCCTGCCATCCAGTTATCCTGCCCAGGACCCTTCACAGCTACTCCCCGTCCGAAGTGCGTATCTGTGAGATACGCATATGCAAATAGCTGCCTGCAGGACCACCCCGATGCAATGTGGTTTTTCAATTTCTCTCTCTGGCTTCTTTTTTTTTTTTTGCAGCCTTTTTGTACGCAAATAATTGTGAAAATTTTTTCCCTCATCCATTTTTGTTGGCCTGCTGCGGCAGGTTATTGTTTGGTTTGGTTGCAAATCCTCTTTTTTTTTCTATGCCTGAGTGTACATATTTTTTATTTTTAATTAAAAGCGGAAGTAAAAGCTGGGGGCATGCCCGAGCAGGGGGGATTCTCTGGTTTAGGATTGGCTTCGGTTCGGTTCGGTTGGGTTAGGATTGGTTAGGTTTGGTTTGGTTTGGCGACTTGTCAAGTGTGCGTGTGGGTGCGTTTGCCGGGCACTTTGGCCCGTTCATTTCGCTGTGTAGTGTTTTGCTAACAATGCAAATTTCAGGGCATTGTTTCAGCCTCTTTCTCCCAATCCGAAAACCCCTTTCTCCTCATACACGCACACACTGCAAAACGCATCAAATCATCAGCGGCGATTTCAGACAGTCATCAGATGAAATGTCAAATGCGTTTCCCGCTCCACACGGCCAAGTGGGCGAATGTAAACAGATACTGGCTACTGGTAATGCCTGCTAACTGGTGGCTGCCACCGCTTAGAGCGGCACAAACTAAACCAAACTCAACAACAATAAAAACATGGCTACAATTCACCAGCTGAAGAGTTTTTCAAATAACGAAAAAAAAAGCAAGAACCCTGGCAAGTGGGGGAGTGGCAGCGGAAAAAGGGAAAAAGTCAGGCGAAAAAAAAGAATCGAGAAAATTAAAACAAAACAAACAGCAAACGCATCCTCAGCGTCATCAGCCATTTATGCACTGGGAGAAAAAATCATGGGATTAAGGATACTACATTTTCAGATTTTTTTAATCATGTCCTAAAGCCTACTAATGGAAATCTCTTTCAATTTTAAGGGAATTTAATGATTATCTCTATGGTCTTAATGATAAACAAAATGTTCTCTGGTAATTTTAATTTTAAAGTAAATTATATGTGAAAGACTATCAGAATGTATCTTCAGTTGAACCCAACTCCCGAAAATATCATGCGATTTTAGGGACATCCGAATGATATCGTTCTTATGTCGTATTGTTTAAAAAAGTGCTTTAACTAAAATAATCAGGGACAGTTATCATTATAAGTTTTATTTTAAAACTCAAAAAGTAATCATTATTTTTGATCAAAAAATAGAACTCAGAAATATTCATTATAAAATAAAAAATACTCACAAATTTAAAATTCATGATAAAAATGGATATACTTACCATGAAGAATCACTATGTTATTATTCTTCTTCACGTATGTCGATCCTAAGTGGGTGATTTATTGAATCAGAAAACAGATCAATAATTATTATTTACATACCCTGAAAATAATATTCGGGCATTGTAAAAAAATCTTTAATATTTTATTTTTGGAATATAATATACTATATAATTATTAGTTTTGAAATAAATATGAACTGGATTAATACCAAAGTGAATATTCAACTGATTTTTTCCCCAGTGTAGTCCTGAATCCTGCTTCATCCTTTGGCCATTATGCCCTGCTTTAGCTGCTCTGTTCCACGCATGAAGAGATTTCGGTTTAGCTTTTGATTGACGAACTTGGCTCGTTGTTTGTCCCTCTTCCTGTCGCCCCCTGTTCCCTGTTCCCCTTCCCCACCACGCCCCCCGATGTCCTGCCATACGCTGCCGCTTTTCACTCAAACTCATCAACGTCAGCGACGCATTCAAATCGTTTTGATGGACTTCCCCCTCTCGAGTTCCCTATCCCTATACCATATCCTATCCCATATTCCCATATCAAGCTCACGCAGTGCATCCTGGCACAAGAACAAAACAGCATCGAAAACAAAAAGTAAAAAAAAAATGTATGTGGATCGAGAAAAATGGGGAAAAAGTGGTAGAATGAGTCTGGCACAATATTTGTATTTTACGCAATTTTTACTGACGACTGCCATCATGTCTGAGTGACTCAGTTGGCTCCGTTTTCTGCTGCCTGATTTGCAAACCGATTTGCTACATTGTTCATGTCAGTCAGCGCATTGTTGATTATCAGTGCCCGGATCTGGATGGGTGGTTATGGGTTCGGGGATTGGGGATTGGGGTTCGGTTTGGCTGAGAACTAAGCCCGTGTTTGCCCAGCTATTCATTGTGTTTCGGTTTTTTTCATTTTTTGCTGATTGAAAGTTTGTGCGACAATTGTTGCGGTAAAAGGAAATGGCCCAGAGTCTAATTAAACAAAATGCTTGCTGGGCATAAATGGTGTGGAAGGAATTATGATCGGTGGGAGGGGGGGCTTTTATTCATATTATAATCATTTACAGATGAATTGGATATTTATATTTACAGGAGTGTTTAAATCTTTATTATACTTAATTGTATACAATTATTTTACATGTTGCAAATGACAGCTATTTATGAAATCTATATTGTTTAATCTAACTAGATAATGATAGTACTCAAAACTAACTAGAATTTATAAAAGGGTGACAAAGATCATAAAATCCTTTAAAAGTATGCAAAGCTCTTGTTTAAATCGAGAAGTTCAAAGGATTCATTTGGAAATATGACGTTTTTACAAGTAATTTCAAAATCATTGTACCTTTGAGGCATCCCTTCATTTACTATATTTTTTAATGGGGTGTTTTATTTATTAACTCCCTAACAATCTTATCTGCCTATAAAATATCAAAACAACTTCCGCTGCAACGCCCTTTCACAGTTAATTCGCCATAAAATATGCCAAAAACAACAGCCTCCAGGACTCTGGGCCAAATTAAATTAGCCAGTTGAAAGTTGGCCAGATTGTGGCAGTGGTAAGGATTCTGCGGGGGGAACAAATGAACCCCCCATTTGCCCCTCATAAACTGTTGCCAAAAAGTTTTAAGCTGCATTTGAGGCTTGTTTTCACACCCGAACAAGTTCGGCGAGGAAAGTTTCGAGTGGCGCTTGTCTTGTTTCATCTTCTCATGGCCATAATCCGTGACGTCAACTGCGGTTAGCAGGATTCTCCATGTAAATGAGACAGGCAAGCCGCAAAGTTTGGCATATTTTGCATCTGATATTTTGGCCACTCTTTGGGGGGCAAACTATTACCAAACTTGTTGCATGTGTTTCGTGTGGATGAGTGGCTAAAACGAGTGCTTGTGTGCGAAAATCCCCAGCTCGTTATTCGGCTCATGTACTTGTGGTTGTTTTGGGTCAGCATCCTGCTTGCATTTCGACATTTGAATGTGTTTTGATAATTGAAAACCCATTGGGATCGCTTAGAGTCATTTACATCTAATTAGTGTGAGGGTCATTAAGGATATGAAACTGACAAAGGACCCAGAGAAACGTGAAGTTGCCACAGATTGCAGAGATATATTATTATATTGTAATAGATACTTTTTCATATTTGTTAAAGGTTGTGTAATAATATTTAGGTACTTTTTACTATCGTTAAATGAGTAGAAACAATTTTTACAAGCTAGTCGTACAGATCTGTTTACAATTTTTTACTCTCACCAAAGAAAGCAATAACTTTTTAAATTACCAAATCGAAGCAATTTCAATTGCCACATTAAAACTTTACCCGACTCGTAGACGACTTTAGTAGTCCCTAGCTTTCATCTCGATAATCATCTGAAAAAGTCGACTGTAATGTTTGTGCCCACTTTGTATCTGAAGCTGTTGCTATTGGCCAACTTTGCAAAACAATCTTTCGCTCAGGAACTTCAGTTAATCGACGACACAAATTTAACATATTTAGATAAAGCACCACCAATCGATTTGCGGACTAATGTATATGAAAAGGAATTAAATCGGGAGGACAAGGCTCTCATTCGCTATTTAGGGGCTGCAAAGTTAGTGATCTATTACGCTGACTTGGAACTGGCACTAGGGGTCTTGTTGAACTATGAGATAACAGTGCATGATATCCTCGGAGGAGAGGGTCTTCGAGTTATGAGGCAGTTCCTTGACACCCTGTGTACCTTACAACCCCTAAGCACACCCCTCCAACTTCAATTTCTCAAGGATTTTAAAAAATATCTAAACTGTGGTGTTCGTTTCTTTGGACATGAGATACACGAATGGATAGTTGACTACGAGGAGAAAAATGGCAAGGTCTTTGCTGCCACGGACTACGTGGGATGCCATGGATCAAAGCCGGAGTTAAGGGGCTGGACCTGCACCCTGTGGCAGCTTTTTCACTTCATGACCGTCCAGGGATCCGACCTTGGAGAGGGGTTCTTCCGGCCACCCTACAAAGCTGGCGATATGATCAAGCTGATTATGAATTTTGTCAAGAACTTCTACGCCAGATGCCCGGATTGCTGCGAATTCTTTGTGGACATGGCGAACGAAAAGAAATACGATTGGTTTAAATACCATGACGAGGAGATCATGTGGCTGTGGGAATTTCACAACGCTTTTTCAAAAAAAGTAGGCGGTCAGGGTCAAGATCCATTCTTTAAGAAAATAGCGTTTCCCAGTACAAAATACTGTAAGAAGTGCCAAACAAACAAATACAGATGGCGAAAAGATGTTATTTTAAGATACTTAAAGCATATTTACCAAAAAAAGAATCTGAGCAAGTTTCGACTTAAAGGTAAGGAAGGGGAGAAGAGGCGTACAGGTCTGTTTATGAATTTGCGAGATAGCGTTGGAACAAATAGGACTGAGCTTTTAAAATCCTCCAAAAGAAGTCGAAAAGAAAAATGTATGAAACGGTAAAATATGCATTAATCTTGGTAGTTATTTAGACAATATTATAAAGAGCGAAGCTAATAAGATAAAAGTAATTCGTTTAATTTTAAAACAATATGGAGGGATGCAATTGCATTTTGAAAACAGTCTCTAGAAAATGCTTCGGCTTTTAGGTTTAACGTATGGTAAGAGCCTCCTCTTTATCCTAATTATCCAAGGAACACTTTCGAGAGCTGAAAAGGCAACTCTGTACTCAAAATATGATAATGTTCATATGGTAACCGGCACCACTTTGCAGGGATCTTTGACTGACCCCGCTCTCGGAAAGTTGGTGCAGTTTATGAACATTTTTTGCGGACACTGCCGCAGATTTGCACCCGTCTTTAAGAAAATGGCCATAGGATTGCAAAAGTGGAACCGAGTTCTCCGGATATATGCTGTGGACTGTGCCGAAGAGGTGAACGTGAGGCTATGTCGTGATTTTGCCATTAAATCGACCCCCACTCTGCGCTATTATCCTTCCAAATTTCTAAAGTCGCAAATGGATCTCGGCACCAATATTGGCACTACTGATCCTGAGAAAATCGTTAAACTACTTACTGGCTATCTGGCCAAAAATGACTACAGTGGAACGAAGAAACTGAAGCCCATCTTTGAGCCAATTCAGTCGACTGAGAATGTTTCCACCATCTTCGATCGATTTGGCCACAATCTGTCATACATTTTGCTTGTTCTTCAGCCACAGAACTCTTGGATTGGAATACAAACGATTCTCGACCTGCTTCCTTTTCCAGATGTGGGTGTTCGGATACTGAATGATGCTCAGCTCTTCATAAATTTCGGACTGCAGCCAAGTGACCAACAAATAGTTCTCTTAGATGGATCTGGTAAGGTAGAACCACTTACGCCTGCCAATGAAAGTAGTTCTGCCTATGTGGCCAGTGTTGAAGAGTTTCTGGGCCAAAAAGGGCATACCAGTATTCCCCGATTGCCGACCACAATAAGTCCAAAAGAGATCTTGCCAATGGGACTCGATGCTGTTATACTGAAATCTATGATAGTCTCACCACCCACAGTCTACCAAGCGGACTTGGAACAGGCTATTGACCAACTCATCCACATTGAAATACCTAAGACGCCACTTATAAAAGGCGAAAGCTTAATGGTTCTTCGATTGCTTATAAAGTTGTTTCAGCGTTTTAATCCTTTAAACAAAGACGGAAGACAACTAATGGACCGCCTCTTAAACCACCTCTTCTTGGTTAATGAAATCACAGGAGATGAGTTCTTAACCGTTGTAAACAATATTGAAAAAAGTCCGGGGAGGATATTCAGGGGCAAGCGATACGTCGGTTGTATTGGGTCAAAACCTTTTACGCGAGGTATAACCTGTTCGTTTTGGATCCTGTTCCATTACCTAACCGTAATGTCGGCGAAAAGCCCCGATGCTTTTCCTCCAGGCACCGTGATAAAAAGCCTATATGGTTTTGCCAAGTACTTTTTCGGCTGTACGGATTGCTCTCAGCACTTCCAAAAGATGGCCAGGAGGCGAAAAATACGATCCGTCAAGAAACATGACAAGGAGATCCTTTGGCTGTGGGAAGCCCACAACGAAGTGAATAAGCGATTGTCTGGCGATCCCACAGAGGATCCCATGTTCCTCAAAGTGCAGTTCCCGTTGAAAAAACACTGCTCGGCCTGCTATAAATCGAATAGATGGAACTCAGCTCAGGTTCTAAAATTCCTAAAACGCATTTACAATCTCAAAAGTGTTAGCTTCTACGGATTGCCCACTTTTAATCGTTCCTAGAAATTGACAAGGCTAGTATATCGTTTATCAGAATATAATTAAAAGTCAAGTTATTGCCACTTAAGTTTTTAGTATATTTACTGCTTCTCTACCCATGTTACCTTGAGCTAAGATTTTTGATATCTTGTTTCTGTATCTACATATAAACAAATATGAAATTCGTGAATTCTTTTGGGCGTACCTGCATAGAATAGCGAGTCACAAAATTAAGAAAACCTGTTTTGAGAGAAAGAGAGATTGGGATGGGGGGGGTCTTAACAACCGGAGCAGGGCGAATCCAAATGCGGCTATAATTACCAAAGAGCCCTTGCGATTGAATCAGTTGAAGTAGCTCATTTGAGTTGTGAGCACAGTGTGGAAATGATTCTCGTACTAAAGACGCTTCTTTATGGCCTGCTGCTCTTCGCCCCCGCGGAGGTGTCAGCCCGGATTAATGCCCGAAAGTCGGCAAACGAGGCGAGTCTCTATAGCGATACAGACAATGTGATCATGGTGGACATCGGATCGCTGAGGCCGGCTCTCAACATGAACAACGGCAAGTTGGTGCAGTTCCTCAACAGTTTCTGCGGCGACTGTCATCGCTTCGCGCCGATCTTCAAGACCCTCTCCCGTGACTTGTACAAGTGGCGTAGAATTCTCCACATCTACGGTGTAGATTGCGCCCAGGAGAGAAATGCAGAGCTCTGTAGGGAATTCAATATCCGGCAGACGCCCTCACTGCGGTTCTTCAGTCCCGACACACAGAAGAACCACCAAGTTCTTGGCGCTGTCGTCCCAGGGCAGGATCCCAAGTTGATTAAGTCAGTTGTGGCCGAAATGTTATCCCAAAATGACTACGGACCCGGCCAGCCAAACTTTCGGCCTCTAAAACCAAATGACGATACAAAATCTCTGTTGCTTGATTTTAAAGATCTGGATAGTCCGGTAAAATACATTGCTCTTGTGCTCCAGCCAAAGGATTCCAAGATTGGCAGGGACACTCTGCTGGAACTGCTACCATTCAAAGAAGTTGCAGTGAGGATCGTTGGGGCTGAAGGGGATTTTGCCAACTTTGGACTGCAACCATCCAACCAGAAATTGGCCATAATAGATCGAAATGGAAGTGCCCAGTATCTGGCACCTTCTTCGGATACAAGTGAAGTCTACGCATCCACTGTAGGGGATTTCCTTATAAACCTAAACTATAAGCCCGATCCACCTCTTCCCATTACGGTAGCCTCAAATATGACTGAGTTCTTTGACCAGCAACATCAAGCGATTCTGACCGAGGTCCTCAAGCCGCCACCGAAGGTCTATCGAGCTGATTTGGAGCAGGCCATCGACAAACTCCTTCATATCGAACTTCGCAAAACTCTCTCTTTCGAGGGTAATAACCTGAATGCCCTTAAGAATATTATTACGGTTTTGACCTATCTTAATCCATTAAACAAAGATGGAAAGTTATTGATGGGTGATTTGCGCAATTCGCTGAAATCTTTGCAGAGTATAAAAGGAGCTGAGTTTGCGGACTTGGTTGATTCCCTAGAAAAGAATCGGAAGATTTTTAAGGGAAGGCGTTATGTTGGCTGTATTGCATCACGGCCCTTATTGCGGAGTTTTACCTGCTCCATGTGGACATTGTTTCATTATCTGACAGTGGAGGCTGCAAAGCCACCGAACTACTTTGCACCGGGCTCAATACTAATAACCATTCATGGTTTCGCCAAGTACTTCTTTGGCTGCACGGATTGTTCCGAGCACTTTCAACAGATGGCCATTCGTCGGAACATGAGATCTGTTAAGACCCATGACGAGGAGATCCTCTGGCTCTGGGCAGCTCACAACGAAGTCAATCAACGTATTGCTGGCGACACCACAGAGGATCCCAAGTTCCCAAAGATTCAGTTTCCCAGCCCCGATAATTGCCCCACTTGCCGGAACAACAACTCAGAGTGGCAAAACGATGAAGTTCTAAAGTATTTAAAAACCCTCTATGATAAGAAAAACCTAAGCTTCTACGGACTTCCAACCCCGCAAGGTTACGATTGATGTTGAATTTTTAAATCCTAACGGAAGTAAAAACTATTATTTTATAAAATATCATAAACCTTTATTGGAAGGATCCTCAAATAAAAAGAAAAAAAAAGTATTTTATTTGCTTGATTTACTTTCAAGGTTCAAGGTTTTCTATAATTGCAAATCCACCGATTTGAATCGGTTGCATAACGAAGTGAGGAAAATTGAAATAACATAATTTATTTATACGAGTAGACTACCAGGGGAACTCGGTGAACGTGATATGGATCGAGCCCTCGTCAGATCACAAACTATGACCACCTCACCAGGTTTATGGATACTTCTATCTGGTGTCCTGGCTTTCTCCACCAGAGTGAAGTCCCAGGTTCGGTTATATCATCCCATCGACAATGTAAATCAGATTAACGCAGAGGAAGTGGGGTTTGTACTTGACCAGCCGACATCAAAACTAGTCCAATTTTACAACTCCTTTAACGAAGATTGCATAAGTTTTGCTCCCACCTTTAAGAGCCTGGCCAGGGACTTAAGAGATTGGGATAGGCTTCTTAAGGTTTACGCCATTGACTGTGCCAAGGACGAGAATATCAGAACATGTGATAAATTGGAAGTCAGTAAAATGCCCTTGGTGCGCTATTATCCTCCAAAATTCGATCGCAATTTGGTGGGAATCGAGATTGCTAGCAGAAAACCCGATGCAATTAAACAGCATCTGACTTCTTATTTAAGTCAACTGAAGCACAGTCCTGAAGATGAAGAGCTCTTTAAGCCACTTACGAAGGAAGACTCTGCTGACGGTGTTTTTATCACACAAAACTCCGTATATAATAGCATAAAAAATGTGGTTTTAGTCTATCAACCCAAATCTTCACTGATTGGTATAAGAACTGTATTGGAGCTGCTATCTTTGAAGTCATTAAAAGTGCGTATCATAGAAGACCGTCAGATATTTGCGAAATTCGGACTGAAGCCTTCTACTCAAAGCCTGGCCATCGTAAATCGTTATGGAAGCCACCTTTTCCTGACACCACAAATGGAGACAGGAGAGTCTTACGCAGCTACCGTAAAAGAGCATTTGATGAGTCTCGGAGTCAAAATAAGAAAAAAACCACCCACAACAAAAACCCCGAGTCTTAAAGAGCTTTTCGACATGAAACAGAAAGCGATCCTAAGTCAAGCCGTTGAACGACCCCTCCGGACTTACCAAGCCGATATAATCAAGGGTATTGAAGACTTTCTGGTCACGATTCTACCAAATATACCACTTATAGCCGGGAAAAGTAAAACAGCACTGGAATCTTTCATGAAACTCCTTAGTAAGTATCACCCACTAAATGGGAAAGGAGATGGGCTGATGATTGGGGTTGTGTGGGAGGTAGAGAAATCTAATGGGCTGACTGGGAAGCAGTTATCTGAGAAATTAAAGTCCAGGGAAGACTTTGGAAAAGTCTTCGATGTAAAGCACTACATTGGCTGTACATCCTCAAGACCCCATGAGCGGGGCTACCCATGCGCCCTGTGGACATTGTTTCACAATTTGCTAGTTCAAAATTTATATTCTATAGATGAGTACACACACCCACCTGGCGACATCTTATCAATTTTTCGCGATTTCATCAAGTATTTTTATCAATGCCCGCAGTGCGTTGGCAATTTCGAGGGAATGGTCAAGCGCAGGCCCATACATTCCGAAATGACACATAAGGAGGCGATACTCTGGCTCTGGACAACCCACAATGAATTTAATAGACTCACTGCTGATCAAGACGGCGATCCTATGTTCCCGAAGGTCCAGTTCCCCAGTGCGGATAGGTGTCCCACCTGTCGGAATAACAACTCCAGCTGGCGGAATAACGAAGTGCTGAAATATTTAAAACGTCTGCATCGCTTTGATAATTTAAGCCGCTACGGACTCCCCAATTTGTAAATATTAAGATACAAGAAATATAAAATCAATGTATTTAAGTTTTTTATAATAGTGGGAAACTAAAAGTAACTATTTTTATCTATTAAGCTAACTAAAGCAGAAAAACACAGTATTTTTTTTTAGTTTACTTATTAAATCGACAAACTCCTGCATATCGAACTTCGCAAATGGGTCCCTTTGCAGGGTTTTAAGCTTAAAGCTCTGAAGAATATTATTACAAAGAATCATAGCATCGCAATCGTAATCTTTGACGATTTGAATCGGTTGCATAACTAAAGTGAGGAAAATTGAAATACGTCTATAACTACATAGAGTTTGTTAGCAGGTTATATTAGTAGAAGACAAACAGGGGAGCTTAGAGGACCTGATATGGATCGATCAAAGATGGCCAGCTCAGCAGGTTTATGGATACTACTGTCTTGTGTCCTGCTTTTCAGCTCCGGATTGATGTCCCAGTATGTCAACGCAGTTACCGTAAAAGAGAACTTAAAAAGTCTCGGAGTCAAATCAGATGAAAAACCACCTACACCTGGGCGGGTTTACCTAGCCGATATGCTCAAGGGTATCGAAGACTTTGTTGTCACAATTTTACCAAATGTACCACTTATAGACTGGAAGAGTAGGAACGCACTGGATGAATTCATGGGACTTCTTAACAATTTTAAGCCAATTTTTTTCAGTAAGACAGAAAATGTTCTGATGAATACGCTTCAGTGGGACGTACGGAAGTCTAATGGTCTGACTGGGAAGCAGTTATCTGAAAAATTAAAGTCCACAAAAGACTTTGGAAGGGTCTTCAATACAAAGCATTACATTGGCTGTGCATCCTCTAAACCCCAATTGCGGGGATACCCCTGCGCCTTGTGGATATTGTTTCACCATATGCTAGCTCGAAATGTGCATGCCATGGCTCCACTTAATTACCAACACCCACCTGGCGAAGTATTATCAATTTATCGCAATTTCATCAAGTATTTTTATCAATGCCCGCAATGCGTTGACAATTTCGAGGCGATGGTGAAGCGCAGGCCCATACATTCCGAAATGACACATAAGGAGGCGATACTCTGGCTGTGGGCAACCCACAATGAATTCAATAAACTCACTGCTGATCAACCCGGAGATCCTATGTTCCCGAAGGTCCAGTTTCCCACTGCGGATATGTGCCCGTCCTGTCGGTACAATAACTCCAGCTGGCGGCGTAACGAAGTGGTGAAATATTTAAGTGGTCTTCATAGTGTGAATAACGTAAGCGGCTACTTTATTTAAGTTGAGTCGCTAGAGAAAGCGAGTATGAAAATAAAAATGAAATAAGAAGGGAATAGCCGTTACTCTGTTTCGAATAACAAATATTCATTACTTTAGCGCGGCACACACAAAGCTTTCTTCTACTTTTTACATAGTTTTCGATTAATCTAATATACCCTTTTACTCTAAGGGTAACGGGTATAGTGTTATTTTAATAACGTAAAACTAAAATGCAAAGTAACTTCATTAGCTTCGGTTACCTAACTAAAGAACGAAAAACTTTACTCTCATTAGTTCAGTGGAATGGATAGATTCTCGCAATTGCAGCTTTGTGGCTTACTTTTCGCCATTTTGTTCATATCCCAAGGAACTCTTTTCGGAACAACTAGGATTTACCAGGCCGATATAGAGCGGGCAATTTTCAATATACTGAATATTGAGCTTCCCAAGGTTAATCATATGGGTGGAAAACAGCTATTAGTTCTGCGCAACATCTTGACGCTTTTGAACTACTTAAAACCGTTAAGCAAAGACAAAAGGTTGGGGCTGAACAAGCTTTATAAATCTATGTTAATTTCGAGGAAACGTGATCGTGCTGTTTTTGGAACCGAACTGCAGAGCTCTTTTAATAGTTCTATCAAAGACAAGATCGAAGGTAGTCACTTCTCTGGCTGCATGCCTTATAAACCCAATTCCCGGGACTTTAACTGTTCCCTATGGACTTTGTTTCACTATATGACCATAAAAGCTGCCAGGAAACCGCATATATTTAAACCAGGAGATATACTGTGGGCCATTCATGGATATGCCAACTACTTTTTGGGTTGCCAACAGTGTTACGTGAATTTCTGGGAGTTTTCTATGTATCGAAGCATTGATGCCGTGAAGACCCAAGACGATGAGATCCTTTGGTTGTGGGAAGCCCATAATGATATCAATCTACGGTTGGCAAAAGTTCAGTTTCCCCAAAAACAAGATTGTCCGATATGTCGAAAGGAAAACCGCGAGTGGAGGAAAGATGAAGTGTTGAAATATCTAAGAAGAATTTTTAGTTACGAAAATCTCATCTGATTCCAAACCTCTTTCCCAAAGGCACACATACTCGTATGTATTATGCAATAAATGACCGTTTTTATTAAGTGCTTCAAAGGTCATCTAATAAATAATTTAATGGAACGTTGTAATTGACAAATGAGCGGAACTCCAAAGGTGTTTTTTGTTGTGTTTTCTAGTCAGTTTTTCTTTTTAAGCCGGGACAATGGGAACAATAACATCGGTTGTCTTCTCTTTGATTATGTTGTTACTCTTTTATTCCGGGTTTTATCCGGTAATCGGCGCTCGAATTTTGCAACTAACTCATAAAGTTAAGCTTCTTTTGCATTCGAAATCTTTGGGTGAGATTTTGAGCCAAAATTCATTTCCCTCCGTTGTCTATTTTAACAACGCCGAAGTGGGAGACAAGAGGGATGGCATTGACTACGTTTCTCCAGTCCTCGTGGCCCTAACTCGTTTACCCCGCCTTGTGGACATTTTCCATATCAACTGTAATAGGTCGATCAACAAGAATGACTGTACAAACTATGACTATAAGGCGCCAGAACTTCGTTTGTTTCCCAACCAATTTAAACGCTTGGAAGTTAAGGAAAAAAATAAAAACGGACTGGAAATCCCGAAAAAATCCACCTATGAAATGCTAGATGCTATTTTGCATGGCCTGGTGCGAATGGAACTGGAGTTACCAGGCCAACCAAACTTTAAGCCCATTCTCAGCACGGATACCATAGCATCGCTTTTTAGAAAAGCAGGAAACAAAAAGATTACCCACCTAGTTCTGGTTGGTCAGTCCAAAAAGGAAGCCACAGTGGGCCGAGATACAATCTTGGCCCTTTTATCAAAAGAACAAGTATTGGTGCGCATCGTGGATAATGCCACATTCTTCAGGAACTTTGGCATTAAATTCAAGGAGAAGGATAAAATGCTGGCCATTATCTCCTGGTCGCGAAGGATCACTCAACTGTATCCTAAAAAGGCTAGCGGAAAAGAGTTTGCGAGGGCCGTAATAAAGTTTTTGGATGAACGGACATAAAACACTTGGCTTAAATGTTAAATACAAATAAATTCATTTGATGCGGTAAACGGTTTAAATTATTTAAGGTAATTAAGAGCTAGTTAAATTTTTAAGAACACACGTTTCTCACAAAGTGATAAGCAAGTTGCATATTAAACTTTTTGGTTTCCTAAGTTAGTAGTCATTTAAAGATCAGGGAAAATGCTGATACTGATACTAATCTTGGTTCTGATTCCAGAATTTAGAGGTGCTCTGACCGAGCAGTTCCGAATCATTCAGGTGCGGCCCAGAGGAAAGTTGTTGTGGATCAACAAAGACTTGGACGAGCTCTTGAGTCACAGTCCTGTCTCCTCCGTTGTCTACTTTAGCCAATCGAAGATTAGAGATGTGGAGGCGGATGTTCCCAGTTTTTTAACTGATATACCCCGTCTCTTGGACGTTTATATGATCAACTGCAACCGGCCGATCAACAAGATTGATTGTGAAAACTATGACTTCAAGGTGCCCGGACTTCGATTTTTTCCCAGCGAGTATAAACGCATACAATACAGGGAATGGGGAAAGCAAGAAATTCTTAAAGTAATTGAATTCAGGAATGAATCTCCTCCTTATAAATTGCAGAATTTTATTTTGAACGCCCTAGTATCGGTTGAGCTGAAGACACCTGGCTCTCCAAGTTTCAAACCCATTCTCAGCACGGATACGGCGGCATCGCTCTTTAGGAAGGCAAATTGCAAGTGCATCTCCTATATAGTTCTGGCCGATCAATCCGAAAGGGGATCCACAGTGGGCCGTGACACAGTGCTGGCCCTCTTGAAAAGGGAAAAAATATTAGTACGCATTGTGGACAATGTCGCTTTCTTTGCACATTTCGGTCTTCAGTTCTTGAGAAAGGATCACAAACTGGCCATTATCCCTCGGTACCACAGGCCCGTTAAACTGTATCCGACGAGTGCCAGTGGACGAGCTTTTGCAAACGCTGTTATTACATTTGTGAATGAAAACGCTTAAGTTTATGTGTTTTATTTTAAGGGTTTTCGATAAATTGAGGATTTAAGATCATTAGTTTTTATCTGACTGAAAAACTTTAAGTACTAGTGTAATGAGATTATCTTCATGTTAACATTATCTGACAGATACCAATCTAAATAATTAATATGTGACTGTGACTTTTCAAAACTCTATAGATTTCTGTGTTAGCGATTTCTATCGTAAATATATAACGTAAAGAATCAAACGGACTAAGGTAGCTGAAACCTCTTAAACCTCCCTCCATTGTAATACTGCGAAAAGAGGTATGCCTGTTTGGCCCCCGATAGTGACATGAAAATTGCATAAATTTGCTAAATTAAGCGTTTAGATTAAATGAAGCGACAATGCGTGTGTGTGCGTTCGCCCACCACCCACCAACCATACCCATCTCCATATCCATATCCAATCGAAGGACCATTTAGGTCCTGCCAGGGGCCAAGTCAACTGACCTGGGCAAAAGGTAACCTCAACGGCAAAGGCAACGGCACTCGTATTACACCGATTACCCGCACATCAAACTGAACTGTACATGAATTATTTATAGAACATTTTTGCAAAATATCTACGCACTAATTTGCGTAAAGTAATCGATGTGGTGGAAAAATTTTCACGCATGCACACCTGAGGGGAGGACACCATCTGACAAACGGACTGACTTATTCGGTTGGGAGTGGGAGGTAGTGGGAGTGGGCCATTCGCGGCGATTCAGTCATGCCCAAATAAGCAACAGCAAGCGGAAGCTAAAAATTACCAGAAACCCCCCTTCCCCATTTTGGATAGAGCCCCCGCCCATGGAGCCCCATGGTGGAACGCCCACGAAACTTTCTTCATTGTGCGTAAATTGGCACCCCGCAAACAACCACCCTAAAAACCCTACCGCATAAAAAGAGCTAACTCTGGGCCCAACGTAATGATGTGTATGTAAAATTTATAATATACATAAATAAATAAAATGCACGCAGTTTGGGATTTGTGGGCGGGGTCAGTGTGCAGTTTATCGATATTTTTGCACTCACCCATCGATGGTGGAAATGTGGAAAATCCTTTGGGTTGGGTGGCAAAAAACATTGTACACAACTGTACTTTACTTTCCTTGGATTTTTGTGCGTGCCCCGGGAAATTGAAGGTTCCGTGAATAGCACTCGAGGTCTTTCACAAGGTAGGCCGTAAATTTTCGACCATATCTCGGCAACGGAAACCGGAAACCAGCGCCCATTTGAACGAATAGCATTGCCATTCCATCTATCTTACGGTTTAGGGCCCAAATCGCTATGCGTAAAGTGCGTAAAATATGGACAAAATGTATGGCGGCCCTGTAATGGAAAACGGATATTGTGGCTTTTGTCTTGTAAGGGAGATCCTTGGTTAGCCCTAGCCCTAAAGGAAGTGCTCTAATTGGCCCAAAAAGATTTGCATAACGTAATTGCCAGCTGGCAGAGATCGTGACTGTGTTGGGTTGGGCTGGTTTTAAGCGCATGCATTAACCAAAAACAATAAGCCCGGCCAGAATTATGCACAAATTATTGTTTAGGCATTTAAATTGCCGCAACAGTAGCGGCAGAAGAAATAAAAAAAAGGGTTACGAGAAGCGAAAACAATAAAATGCCAGCTGAAGAAGCATCATCATCGGTGAAGGCAGCTCGTTGTTATAATTATGTAAAAACAGTCTAAAGATTGACTTGACTTCTATACACACCGGCACACACACACACCCCAGCTACACCTGAGTGTGCATGCGAAGGCAGCATAAATTTAGTGGCAGGGAGGGCGGAGTGGGGCAGAGGGGTTCGTTGCAACAACAACCTGGTAATTATCAGGCCTTAGCGGCAAGCAACATTGTCTGTGTATCTTGGCGCTACCGTTCGCTAGCCACCCCCTGCCAGCCCACCAACCTACCGAACATCCAACCCCCCCACCCTCGCAATTCGCACGCAAAAAATGTAAAGTGAAAATATTTTTAAGGCACTTGTAGGACAGTGCAGGTGGGACGAGGAGCGGTACCATCAAATGGGTGGGTCCCATTTTGCCGTTGGCTGCCGAGCTTCCCCCCACCCACTCCATATTCTATGCCGAACTTGAGCATTTTTCTATGTAGCTACATATAATTAAAAATAATATGAATAGAACAGAAGAAAAAAAAACAACAGCAGGCACACAAAACCAGGGCTTCGGGGAAGATTGAGTGAAGCTGCAGATGCTCCACAGGTACTCTATAAGGGGTCATTATAAAATATTTGAACAGAGATGTTTTTGGTATATTTTTAAAATGCGTTTACTCAAATTTCTTTTTGAGGAAAATACTAAATTGAGCACTTAAAAGTACGTATATTCAAAGAATAGTATTATATTACTGAAAGTTTGATTTATTTGAGAAACATCTATAGTAAACACTTAGGCCAATTAGTCTTAACACCTTAAGTGTTTTTTTGTATATCCCTATAAAGTTATGGTCAACATAATGCCTAATTTATTAGTCTTAATGTGCACCTTTATAACACTAATTGGATTTTGCAGTAAAAAATGTATAAAAGATATTGCAAGCTAAGGTCAAATTTTCATTGCCTGCTTTTCGGCGCACTTAATAATGTTTTACAATCTCCAAGAAAAACCAATTATATTTAAGAATTTATGTTAAATATCCTAGCTTTTCAGTTATTTAAAGAACGATTTAAGAATATGTTTGCCTTTTTTTTTAATCCCCTAATAGCCTATAAAACACAGATACCCAAAATCCCCAAACTCTTTTAAATTAAATGTTTCGGCAACCCTATTTAGCTCACTTGGTACAAGAGAAGCTAATCTGGGCAACCATAAAAAAGGGAACAAAAAATCGTCAAACCGAATGCAATTTGGCAACAATTTTCCCAAAGTTTGTTGCCACAACACACAGTTAAGCCCGATGCTCCATGCCGTCACACCTACCCCCCGCCAGTTGCCACAAATTGCGGCAGCGCGTAATTAAAACAATTTGTGCATAATTTTTGTACAAGTGCAGCCAAAAGCCGAACCCAAGGCTCAGACCCTTCCCCTTGGTGGGCTTTTAAATAATAATTTGCTTAGTTTATGAAGTGCCCGAGTGTGTGTGTGTGTGTGTGTGTCTGAGTGGGTGAGCTACATGGGCTCCCAAACCCCCAAAGCACCCCTCAAAAACCCCCAAACACCACCCCCTTTCTCCCAGTTGTTGCGCACAATTTACTCACTTGGTTGCATTTTAACATATTTCGTTACGTTTTCAGCCGGGCCAGAGTCAATTGTTGCTGTTTTTTCAGTTGGCTGGCATGTGTTTTTCATTTTTCTATGCCTTGTTTTTGTTGTACTCACCTTAGGTTTAATTTGTTTGAGTTTCATGCAACTGCTGCAGCAGCAGCAGCTTCTGTTGTGAATTTCACGTGCATCTGCCGCTGCAACTGCCACAGCCTTCTTTCTCCCAAGTCGAAAAATATTTGTGCACGCAAAAAATGTTAATTGCCACAGAAGCAACAGCAACAGCAGCAGCAGAGGCAACATCATCAGCAAAAAGCAAACCATCAATGTGGCCGGGGCATTAAAATATTTAGGTTGCTATTGCCGCTGCTCTGCTCGCAGCTCTCTTCCCAAGCCTCAAACTCAGTCTCCCGGTCTCAGTGGCAGTTTAAGACTCGGTTCCAGGGTCTGAAAGGGGTCTAAAAAACCCAGACCCTGGCTAAAACGCAGCCTCCCCGCCCGCCGCTGCTGCAACGTTAATGCAACTGCAACTGTAACAAATTGCAATGTCGCACATCTGTCTTCCCTGGCGTTTGTCGCTGCCTAAAAAAGTTCGGAAAAAATTGATGACGACTGTTATGGGAGAAGTTGTAATACCCTTGCTAGGAACTCAAAAATTTGGAGGTATAACGAACTGATTGCGAATTTATCTATATTTTTGACAGTGTCACCTTTACTATTAAAATATATTTTTGAATGTTAATTAGTTACTATTAATATTTACAATCCTTAAACACAAATATAGAAAAAAATAAGTTATTGTAAGTACTAAGTATTTTTCTAAATAACACCTAAAATATTAAAATAATTTTATGCTTATTAACTAGTTATCAATATTTACAATCCTTAAACACAAATATGGAAAGAAAAAAAGTACTACAAGTATGAAGTATATTCTTATATTACCTTAAATATTAAAATATATATTTATGAATATTAATTAGTTACTCTTAATATTTACAATCCATTAATATAAATATAGAGAGAAATATTTTACATCAAGTAGATACAAAATGTATTGTCTTAAAATCTTTACAAAATATGGAACGTTTT